ATATATATATATATATATATATATATATATCTTCCATTCTGTAATTGCTTTGGTAACGATGATATGACGATGGCAAGTATGATCTTGGGGGAAGTCTCTGTCCATGGCTGCTCAGACATTCTTAATAAGGATTGAGTTATGATGATTTCGGTGGATGTGACACAGTGTAATCTCGGGGTTTTGCCGAAATCATGCCTTTACAATACTGATCGTGTGGATAGGGCGGTTAACCTGGATGAGATTAAATTGCTCCAGCTTGGGGAAAATCATGGCCCTCACTGATGGTAGATACATCTTGTCTAGGATTTTCATATAGGCATGTGCTGTAAAGCTGCCGGGCCCGACATTTATCAAACGCTGCTGTGCATCCAGCTGAACAGCCCAGCGGTTTCTGACAGTCTATGTACTACAGCACAATGTGAAGTCTCACTGGATGTTGCCAATGGAAAAAAAAAATTGGTCTGCATCTCTTGCAGCAGTTATGGCCTGCTTCAAATAATAATGAAAATAAATAAGAAAATTACTCCTGGTAAGGGAATGTGGCAACTAAGTACCAGCAACTAACTCAGTTAGCTTTTCCAGCTCACACTTGCTCACCCTGAGAAGGGTGAGCAAGCTTCACTCTACCCAAGGTTAAGGGAATATTTCCTTAGCCTTGACTCAACTTATTCTTTCGCCTTTATTTGTCGTTTCAGCATCTGGTGTCCAACACCTTGTTAGTGTTTCCCCACCAAACTATTCAAGAAACCCATTACTTTCGACATCTGTTCAATCCGTCTTTTACATATTCATTTTGTTATTTTTTGGTACTGAAATGACTGTAAATATTTGAAAAGTATAAAGGCATGTGCAATATTGTCATGAGTATCATTCTATTTTCCAAATAACATATCAAAAGTTTACCATTATCTAAATAGTGGATCCAGGTGATATAAAACGGAGAAGAGAGAGAGAGCAGCTGCTTACGGGGATTGTCTGGTCTTTTTTTGACGATTTTTGCCAGTCTTGCTGAAATTGAGTTAAATGCATTTTCAAGGAGTTCCTAGGCTCCCAGTTCTCCCATGAAAATTTCAAGACCCGCCCGTTATTTTTTAGGTGGTAGCAGCTATTTTCGATGTCGACTGATATATACAATTTTTTCACGTTACCTTAGAAAATCGGCAATTGTGATGTAATGATTACAGATAATTAAAAAATGCGATTATTTTCTAAAAGCTTATCAAATTTCACATAAGATGAGACTAACCTTCATTTTTTCAGAATATTTTTAAAACTCTGGCAAGCATCCAAAAAACAATAATGAAGACATTTTTCATACAAATAAATAAACATGATATGCTGTTCATATGGAGTATTTTATTTTTATGTTTTCATCATACATAGTTAGTTTGATCTATGAGCAAAACATTTCGAAAATGCAAACCTCCCCCCCCCAAATGGGGGGTAGGATTGCCAAATGATCACCAAAATTTTATGGAATATTAATTAGGCTAAACCAAACCTCAGGTAAAAAAAATCTGTTCATAACTTTTCAGGTTAGAAAAAAAAATCCTGGATCCAAACCATAGTCTGCATCACCACCAAAGTGTGATAAGTGTCTAAGTTAGGTTAAAATACACACTTGGTAAAAATCTCACTAAAATGTTTATAACTTTTAGAAATATCAGAAAACGCAGACAAACAAACATTAAAAACAACAACAATCAACAAACAAACAAAGAAACAAACGGAAGTAACAATATAAATAAACAAAAGGTCATGGGGTTCATGAAAATGATCTATATGTGCTTATATATCTTATATACATAATTTTACATTGCCATGTAATTGTATTTCATCTTTTCATGGGGTCTGAGTGTGAAAATTGGCCACATGACCCTGTAGAGTTAAACACCAGTATTCCGAAGATGCAAAGAAACGTATTTCATGCTCCACAACGCCAGGCCGCACTGAGAAAAGGACGCATATGATACCCATCCGACTGGAGAAAGGTGATTTTTCCAACTAATATTATACGTTGTAAAACCCCATTAGAGCAACAATAATAGGTAAATAATAGATAATTATATAATATAAAAGTATTTCGTACATGATTTATGTAAAATGTATAAATAATGAAAAGGAAAAAGATCGAGGTTATAAGGTCCTTCACATTTTTATGCATAGCACATGTATTTTCAGTCCAATTTTAACGTATTATGGCTTATTTTGTAGTTGAATAATAGATCTACTACATGATGCAATAAGGATTTGCAATATTTTCATGTGCTTCTTATAAAAGGGACATATATTTTCAGTATCCCTTTTTATGGTGGTGAGATAGTGGGCTTTGGAAAATATTCACAAAAAAAAGAAAAAAGAAGTTAGGTTGACTTCTAAGAAATGGCTTCCACATATTAAAAATGGTCAATGTAGGCTTATAGACACGAAAAATTACTGCCACGCTGCTATACTATACGAAAGATTTTGAGAAACCATTACATGCTGGCAACGTCCAGAATACTTGGGAACGCAGGTAGATGATAGACAATTATGGTTTAGAAAGATTATGCTTCTCCCTTAATTTTTCATACCGTAAGGAATATGAAAAGAGAAAGAAATTTCAATGACTGTTATTTCGGAAGTATACTTATTTTTTTTCAAGAAGTTTTGAAGACGTAAATTATGTCCAAAATAAACGTATCATGGCACTTTTGTAAATAAATAGTGTATCTAGGGTACACTGGGATTGAATTTTTAAATATTTTCCTGTGCTTCTAGTAAAGTTGATATATATGTAATGACAACCGTTTTTTTCCGGACACCTGCCAGTCGAAATCGAGAAAAGTACTCCCCAGAAAATGGATGATTTTAAAAAATAAAACAATCAGAATGACAGTGCAATTTTTTTGTGATTTTATTTTTTTTTTTTTTTTTTGAAAAATGGTCAAATTTAATTATTTTCGGTATTTTTTTTTTTTTTTTTTTTTTTACTATAACTCAACAACTGTTTGGCCAATTTTGAAAAAAATCTACCACAAAGATTAGGCTAGGGTCTAAATAAAAGGGTGTGATTTTCATCAAAATTGGCAAAAAAAAAAAAAAAAAAAAAAAAAAAAAAAAAAAAAAAAAAAAAAAAAAAAAAAAAAACAGACAATCCCCTTTTGATAATGTAGAGCGATATATTAATATATGGCTTTGGGATAATGCAAACAAAGGATATTTCCGTCTGACAAATTATGAAAAAGTTCCAATAATATCTAAGGATTTTTTTTTATAGAAAACATGATAAGGGATTAAAATAAAATTATGTGATAGGATTTCATTATGATGATTTGCAAAACAGCATACAACTTATTTCTTCAAGCAGGTCTAGTTAAAAACTAAACATCAATAAATGCGATCGCTCTCTTTCTCTCGATATATATTTCAGTCATTATTGCACTTCTTTGCCTGATTTCCATAATTTCCCTCCTCCTCATGTTCGAACCATCCTAACTATGTCCTGGATGTTTTAACATGGGTCTATTTTCAGGGCAAGAAGAGCATTATCTCTCCAAGCCAAGTCTGGCAAGGTGACACCACTTTTGTCGTTGGTTGTACTGCTAATACTTTTTAGAAGTGCTTACAATTCTGTATTATTGTTAGGGATCAGTACTGCTAGCCATTAGTTTTGGAAAGATTCTACATAGAAGTTGCAATTATAAGTATTTAAATTTTAAGGGTATGGAAACTGGCATGCACTCATCATAGAACGTCACATGTTCCATTAAAAAGAGCCACCTATTGATCAGCTTATTAAAGAAAAGAAACTCTTCAGGGCTTTCATATCAAAACACGTAAAAGACTTACTGGGTGTAGCCGCCCAAGTCTGCTCTCAGGTCTGGTGGTAACTGATGTGCTGAAAATAGGAAAAGGGAGAAAACACTGTAAAAAGCAATTACGCTTTTTTATATCTGACTTGATATTGGCATATTACTAAATGAAAAAGGGGAAGTCAGGGAAAAGGGAGGAAAGGATAGAAGGGATGGGGGAAGGAGGAGGAGGAGGAGGAGTAGGAGAGAGATAGATAGATTTGATCTAATGAAAAATTATGCATAGAACAGTGACCATGCCCTGGAAAAAGCCAAACCTTCTATTCATGCTTGAAGGGCTGTGCTATTGTGCTTGTATCATTCACATATCATCCAGTAAGGGACAAGGCCTGTGTCCGTAATAAAATCATTATTATAAGTACATATAGTGGAGAATTTGCATTATGCTTTCAAGGGCAGTTCATAAATTTCACAAGATATTTTTTGCCATATGAAATCTTTTCTGTGCATTCTGAGCTTTCATAAGGGAGAGCACAGTGTCAGCATTGCAGTGTATCTCATGGACAGGCAAAACAGGGTCAGTTTTGACTGTTTTGCTAAAGGGAGCAAAGCCTTCAACCATTTTTATGGTTTAGGGAATTACTTCTTGTTATGATGACCTTCTGGATCATCATTCCTTTCACGTTCATTCAGCTGGCATGTATGATGCATCCATTGTATGTCCTTTCTCCTGTTTTTATTTCCCTTGGCATATAAAAAACAATGATGTACTTACATTACCCTCTTTGAATAGCCTTTGGCCCTTTTATGCACTTCATCACCTGCACAGATAACTGTTATATGGGCAAGAATTTGTTCATTTTTGCATCTTACATGAACTATGAACTTTTCAACTCTAACAATCAATTTATCTTGTAAGGATCCACTTTTAGAGCCTGGCATACAGTGACATTTGTCTCCATGTGCATGAAACTTCATCTCCTTTTTAAAGTGTGCACAAAGGAGTCCACAAAGAAGGGTAGCTGCCTCTTTGGTCTTTTCTTCCTCCTCTCTGGGGTATGGTAATGGATTTGCATCCGCTATAGAATGGTGTCAATCATCTCTTTAAGGAGCCTTTGTGTGTGGATGTGAGTGCCCATAAGTATGTCTGGGGTGCTGGAGGTCTATGAGGAGAGCCGGGGCGGCCCGGGCGCAAAAGCTTAAGTAGGGCAAAGCTGTGCCAGCTACCTGGGAGCAAGGGGAGCCTGCGGTCCAAAGGGCGAGCCGGGAACTGTCCATTCTCATCCAATCAGGTCTCGGCATTAGTCATCGAGAGGTGGCTGATGGTGAGGTGCATGAGGACGCGGGTGATGGAGTTGGACCCAACCTGGGGATGTATGTTGTGCTGCAGGTTACGGGGGTCGGCTACGGGTACTCCCCCTCCAGTGAGGGAGCTAAGCAAGCGAGCGATAGCCGTATTACTCCAGAAGGCTGGGTGTTTGTGTCACTCCAGAAAGTCACCAGTATGGCAATGGATTTGCATCCGCCATAGAATGGTGTCAATCACCTCTTTAAGGAGCTTTTGTGTGTGGGTGTGAGTGCCCACAAGTATGGCTGGGGTGCTGGAGGTCGAAGGGGAGAGCCGGGGCGGCTCCCCCGACAGCTAAGGCCTGGGGAAGTAGGTTGTGCTACAGGTTGCGGGGGTCGGCTACAGGGGTGCTACCAATATCATCCTCATGGAGGACATCATATGCCCTCAGTTTCAAGGGGTTGGTGTGCAGCCATTGTCCTATTAGTGGGCAGAGTGATTTTCTGAACATGCAGGAGCTGGCCTTAGTGTCTGTCCTTTCTAAGTAAAAAAGCCACACATACGGGTACCCTATGTACATAGAATCTTTCACAATTTTTAATTTCACAGTTTATACTTTGTATTGCTTTCAGACTTCATGATCATTTGAATATTATCACAAACTAGTAGATATACAGCTGACAGGTCTGTGAAGACCTAGCTGTCAAGGTTAAAGAAGAGAGAGACAAAGGGGAGAGGGAGGGAAGGAGGGAGGGAGAGAGGGAGAGAGAGAGAGAGAGAGAGAGACTGAGAGAGAGAGAGAGAGAGAGAGAGAGAGTATAACTTCGTATAATGTATGCTATACGAAGTTATTACGTTTTTCAGGAAATAAAGTTTGGACATACGAAGGACCTTTTGCTGCACTTTAAGGATGAAGCTCGTCAGATTGAAGAGCGCGAAGGAAAAATTCACCAACCCATCATTGACTTTAGTAAGTGAAATAAAGATCTCATTCTTTCTGTTGTATTTTCTCTTACAGATTTCCTCTCTTTCTCTCACTCACTCCTTTCTTATTAATCTCTCATTTTCTTTTCCTCTTTCCTTCTCTTTTGCTTCTCCTGGCTCTAATTTCCTGTCTCTCTTCTTTCTCCTTGTCTGTACTTTCCTATCTCTTCTAATTTCTGTCTATGTTTTTCTTTCTCTCTATTTATTTCAGTCTCTCTCTCTCTCTCAGTCTCTCTCTCTCTCTCTCTCTCTCCCTCTCTCTCTCTCTCTCCCTCTCTCTCTCTCTCCCTCTCTCCCTCTCTCTCTCTCTCTCTCTCCCTCTCTCCCTCTCTCTCTCTCTCTCTCTCTCTCTCCCTCCCTCCCTCTCTCCCTCTCTCCCTCTCTCTCTCTCTCTCTCTCCCTCTCTCCCTCTCTCTCTCTCTCCGTAATAACTTCGTATAGCATACATTATACGAAGTTATACGAATATACAGCTGACAGGTCTGTGAAGACCTAGCTGTCAAGGTTAAAGAAGAGAGGGACAAAGGGGAGAGGGAGGGAAGGAGGGAGGGAGAGAGGGAGAGAGGGAGAGAGGGCGTAATAACTTCGTATAGCATACATTATACGAAGTTATACGAAGAGAGAGAGGGAGAGAGAGAGAGAGAGCGAGAGAGAGAGAGAGAGAGAGAGAGAGACTGAGAGAGAGAGAGAGACTGAAATAAATAGAGAGAAAGAAAAACATAGACAGAAATTAGAAGAGATAGGAAAGTACAGACAAGGAGAAAGAAGAGAGACAGGAAATTAGAGCCAGGAGAGGCAAAAGAGAAGGAAAGAGGAAAAGAAAATGAGAGATTAATAAGAAAGGAGTGAGTGAGAGAAAGAGAGGAAATCTGTAAGAGAAAATACAACAGAAAGAATGAGATCTTTATTTCACTTACTAAAGTCAATGATGGGTTGGTGAATTTTTCCTTCGCGCTCTTCAATCTGACGAGCTTCATCCTTAAAGTGCAGCAAAAGGTCCTTCGTATGTCCAAACTTTATTTCCTGAAAAAAGAAATATTATTAACCTATTGACTCTGGTTTCAGCATGGATATCACAGTGCTGAAAATACAGGCATTGGGTTATGTAAATGGCCAATATCCCAGGTATGAGCTGCATAGGCCGGGTGCACAAACACTCGTGAGCGGTGACAAGATTCTGTGCCTCCCCTTTACGAAGTTATTTTGCGTTAACTTTATTAACTTCTTTTTGACATTTACCAATGTCCATATTTGTCTTTTGTTTTGCTTTATCCAGATGGTAATATATTACTTTCCAAGCACAGACTCCATATCATCTCTCTATTTAGTATATAAAAAAAAAAAAAAAAAAAAAAAAAAAAAAAAAAAAAAAAAAAAAAAAATCATTATTTGTCATATATCTTATTTTTTCATAATTGTTAACCACTAAGATCTGGGTGACGTTACAGTCCTGTCATGGAAAAATCTGGTTTGAAAGAGCTGGGTGATATGAACATGCCATTATCGAACAAAATGGCCATGGGCCAGGTAACAAAAAAGACTTGCCACGACTGCACAAAACTCTTGGAGGGTGATTAGACTCATCTGGTGCTTAGAAGGGGGCTTTTGCCTTATTCCCATTGACGAATGAATTGGGATTGTGAGGTGCATAAGCTGAGACAGGAAGAGTGCCGGCTCCCGGGAGGACGCCATTTCCATGCTCTGCATCGTATTTCTGGTCGCAGTGTCTGGCAGGTCAGGTAATATTACAGACAATTAACCCGTTGGATCCGATTGCATCACAGAAATCACAATGCCGAAAATACGGGCAGTGGGTTTTGTATATAGTCAACATCCCGGACGTCCCGAATGTAGGCCGGGTATACGCAAACTTTTCAATCTGACGAGCTTCATCCTTAAAATGAAGCAAAAGGTCCCTTTGTCTGTCTAAACTTTATTTCCTGAAAAAAAATATTATAAACCCATTGGCTCTGGTTTCAGCATGGATATCACAGTGCAATGTAAATGGCCAATATTCCTGCATCTGATCCTACGTGCCTCCAATGGATGGTAACCCTGGCAATTCCTTGCACACAGGGGGAGATTTAGAAGCAAAATAAAACATACAGTATGTCACAGCAAAGAATATCCATTGTAACAAATAGAACTGAAACTAAATCTTTAAAAAATCTTTCAAGTAAGGAAGAAAGAAAAGAAAAGGAAACAAAACAGTAAGCCTTTCACTTTATCCAAATTTCATTAAAAATTCTTTACTTGACTCCCTCTAAAGTGAGGAACAAACCATGTATTTCCTGTTGTGGGATAAGGAAGTCAAATGTTCAAACATTCTTGAAGTCTTAATTCTTGTCACATCAGATGATTTCTGACAAAGCTGGCAGGTGAATTTCTCTTTGCCGTGTATCACTTCCTTATATACAAACTGTATACCTAATGAGAAAGAGAGTATGATTAGTGAAAATTATAACATGAATACCACATTATCCACAAAGAATCACAATATCGTTAGCATGAATAAATAAATCTAGTTTGTGCATTGTGCGTTTTTCTACCA